AGAAGTACATCACCAACGTACTCGTGATCCACCTATAGATTATCAATTAATCATTAGCCATTATTAATTAGCAATAACGCATTCATAACTYAGTTTAAACTTTATAACGCTATTATGAAATAAAAAAGAATTTTGTCCGGTGGACTGATGATCGACCGAAACTGAGTTACTATGGGTAAACAGTCCACCCTAGGCCATTACGGACACCCTCGGGACCGTAATTTAGCGTCCGTAGTAGCGAGAGTCCGTACTTACGAGAGTTACTTTCAGGTATTTCTTTGTATTTTTCTGCGCCGGGGATTCAGTATTTCGTGTCCGAAATATCGAGGTATCGGTTATATCGGTAGCCGTACTTTAGCATCGAAGCACAAGACGACCGTTGAGCGTGCAATGATAGAAACCTTCTTTCACACCTACAGACAATAGACCTCTGCAGCTTTTACGTCATGTACCGTATACGCAATGCATTGTAGGATATGTTTGGGACAGAACATGGCGGATTTCTTTTGTTTTCTCTTGAAACTGATCCCACAATGCATTGAAAATCAAGTAGTGACGTAAAAGGTTCAGACAGGTTTCTATCATTGCACGCTCAACGGTTGTCTCGCTTCCATGTAAAGGCACGGCTACCTTTCAAGATGGCGCAGGGAGCCGTGAAGAAGACTATAATGCCATTCTAAATTAATTCGGAGAAAAATCTATCGATGAAATTATAGATCTATTGGTCAATTATACTCTACTATTTCACAATTATTTCACTTACTTTATTAAAATCATTTAAATCGTACCACGTGTAGCCATCGCCCCCAAATTGAAGCTCTCCAACTGGCAACGTCACGTGACCAAGCACGTGTTCATTAGAAAACGAGTCCAGCTCGAGTAAACGGACAGAGACCTGGAGCGAGTCTTTTGGTTGGCCATTCAAAGCGAATAGCACCTCCTCGTTCCAGTGAGGGTCAAATGTCATTGGTTGCTTTTCAATCTTTCGCTCGTCACGCAATATATTCTCCAAGTCATACAGTTGTACTACTGGGAATATCTGTAGAAAATGCAGATGAGGCTTGAGTATCATTAGTGCACAGAGAGAGCATGATAAGAATATAGAATAGGACAAAAAGCCTTTGTGACGTCAGGATCCTCTCGACTTGCCAAAATGCATCATGGATGTTCCAACAACAAAGATGGCGGACGATTGGAAAAATTAGAGGGCGAAGTTTTGTGCGAAATTAGTTGTTGTCGGGGAGAATGTGGTGGAGTTTCCTTCGCGAATACTCAATGCAGAGCATGCCAATGCGTAATGCTAATTTGAAAATATAACTCAACATTAATTGCCAGCTCAGTTGGTTGCTTACGGAATTTCTCAGGAATTTCTTAGAAAAAACTGAATCGAATAGTTGAGTTTCGCGATCTCTTACACTGTGTTAGCCTCAAAATATGTCTAAAAATATACGCAATAAAATATGTATAAAATATTGCAGAAATCATTAGAGAAAACTCGTGAAATTTTAAACTATATGAGTTTATTGAAAAAAACGAAATGTAAGTAGAGGTTTTCCAGAAACGACACAAGTTTAGAGTTGAAATGACATAGTGAGTTGCTAACATCTTTCCCAGTAGAGAGCGCCTTTACATATAGCTATTTCAAAAAAGGTTGTCGAGTAAAATGTCGAATGCCAATTGTTGAAAATTGAATTTTTGAAATAGGTGTATAAGCACAGGAGTGCAAAAATGTTATTGTAAAAATGTTATTCACCTGTGAAGTCTGCARGCTTGTTTTACTRATAATTCCCTTCGCCTGWACAAGTCCCACTATCAGTACATCGTCTTCTATGTTATAATCAACTTCCATTTGGATCTTCCCAAGATCCCCTGGTGTCTCGATGATATACGGCTCCTCGCTCCCCGCACTCTCCGCTTCAGAAGCGTTCTCGTATGATTGATATGTGAACTCCGTTGGCCATTTTGYCCGGGGGGAGATGGAGTACGTTTGGTAATCCTTAGGGGGAGGGTACCGGTGACGTCTTTGTCGACACCATACCCAGAAGCACTTGCAAAGTACCAAGGTGAAG